GACAGCCCTAGAGATAGTAGCCACAAAGCTCCATCACTATTTCTGACCCATAGACCTCTTCAAATTCCCTGAGATTCCATTATACTTCTCGGCCAAGAGAACTTGGAGCCTATTTCACTGAATTCATTTCCTTTTTCAATTTCTGATAGGTCACCATGGTATCTACCATTTATAACAGCTTAAAAATTCACTGACTACTGCAGGAATTTTCATGAGAAAATTTTTTGATCACTCCCATGAAGTGGCTACCAATTATCATTTCCATTTACAAAAAGGAATAAATATAAATGAGGCAGATAAGTGCTTTTTACCAACCTCAGGGACAGAAACAGGAAATAAAACTTGATTTTCTAAATTTCATTAGGGAATGGTTAAAAGGACCGTGGTTATCAACAGTTTCTTTTGAGTGTTTCTCGTGACCCCTCAGAACAGATGCTGTAATCAGAGGGTGCGATGGGTGGCGGGGTGCAGCAGCAGGGGCTGCCGCCTCACCGTGAAATGCTGCACAAGCCTGGCTTATCCAGTTTCCACAGGGAAGCTATTCTATACCCTATTATTTTGGATTTCAATATCCTAATTTTTTCTAGGGTCCAAGGAAAAAACATCAATATTTATGATCAGGGCTTTTTTTTTTTAATATACTCCATTCTTCTCAGCAGTGTGCAGAACACAAAACATAAAAGAAAAAGCAAGGGAGGCAGCAGGTCTCCACCACTAGACCTGCTTTTACAGCTATCTGCTCTGGTGAGATGAACAGGACCCTTCCTTCAGAAGGCATTTGGGAGAGGAGCGCTGGGAGAAAGGCCCAGCCGGCCTGAGCTCAATCAGGTAGGGGTGGAAAGAAGCCTCTCATAGTCACATACAAGATGCTGGTAAAGGAAAGAGCTCATCCAGGATAATTTGCTAGAAAAATAAGGCTTTTGGCATCTAAACCTCCAGTGCATCACAAACTTCCTGCTATTATCTAATAACCCCCCCCACTCAGCCATCAGTTTCCATGGTAACCGACAGAGAAATAGCAGCCTGCCAAATGGCTTTTGTAGTTCCTTTTCCAGTTTGTTCTTCTGTGTAGAATTAGTATTAGTTGGGCAAAGAACCAGGTGAATCTTTGCAAACAAGGACACGATGTAGTTTGAAAAGTACAACCAGGTTTGAGACAAGAAGTGTAGGCAAGCTCTCACAAACCCAACCTTATAGAATAAAAAAGGTGAAGTGAAGAATATCTGGTAAGATTTACTTTGGTCTTAAAGTGGGATAGCCAAGCAATGGCCAGGATATGGGTATGGTACTCTTCCCTCAGCCTCCAATTTAACTACACAGCAGAAGGGATGGGGTAAATGAAAGAACAAGATCAAACAAGTCTACCAGCCCCAAGTACCTTACTATTATTAGAGGAAATGGAAACTTTCTCTAAAATCAAAATAAATGAGCAAGAGTTTACAGACTAGGACATAGAATAGTGAAAAAAGGATGGGCACCTTGAGGGAGAGAGATGTTAAACCCAGGGATGATGTATGCAGGACTCAGACTCAGCCAATGCATGAAATGGGGGTGGGGTGCTGACACCTAGGAAACAAAGGTTGCCTTCCCATCTCAGCACGGGGAGAAATCGTGAAGAATACAGTGTATGGAACTGGGGCAGCTCTTAGAAGATCAGCAGCTACAGAGATCTACTCAAGGTACCAGACGTCAAAACAGCAGCTGCTGCAGAGGAGGAGGAGTTTGAATTTTTTTTTTTTTAAAGAGAGAGTGAGAGAGGAGAGAGAGAGATAGAGAGAATTTTTAATATTTATTTTTTAGTTCTCGGCGGACACAACATCTTTGTTGGTATGTGGTGCTGAGGATCGAACCCGGGCCGCACGCATGCCAGGCGAGCGCGCTACCGCTTGAGCCACATCCCCAGGCCAGGAGTTTGAATTTTTAAAAACTCAAGATTATTTCTCTTTGAAAGTAGCCCAAAACAAATGATTTTGTTTCAAAACCGCATACTGCATGAAGTGCAGAGAATCTTGTGACTTCTCTGATAGCTTCAGATGAGAAACTGTGACTCAAATCAAAGAGATTTGAGCTTATCTGACAGAGCAAAGTGAATAGGAGTCTGAAAGAGTCCCTCCCACAACCTTTAAGGTACCTCAAAAGTGTCTTGTTGACAGACATGACAATTACAACCTATGGCAGCGTTCTGTGATAGATCTCTAAGAGTTACAGAAAGTCAGACTCCTACAAAGCCCACACAGAAGATTAAACTAATTTATACTTTTGAATTTATGCTTTACCTTGGGTAGTATGAATCAAGAGTTACGTTCCCAGAGCTATCATCTGAGTTTAGAGAGTAGACAATGATTTGCAATAACCATTTCCCTTCAAAAGGATCACTGAAGATATATACTCTAATGGCTGCCAACTTAAAGAAAAGCTTCTGCCATTCTAGTTTAGTGACACTGGTGAAGCCCCAGATTTTTGGAATCTATTAATGAAGTCTGAAGGAGCCTTTTCACATACTTAAACTTGTGTCCTGTTTACCAAAGAATGAGCATCTAAGGCGTATTCACTGATGAGTGATTATATATCAACTTTCCCCATCTTAAACAAAAGACAGAATTCAGAAGATACATGAAAATTGTGACACATTCAATGAGAATTAGGACTAGGCCAGAAGCTGAAAGTTCCTACGGCCAACAATGTGAGGTACTGACATCTTTATATTTCTTCTCCAACCCTTTCCTCAGCAAGCATTGTTTCAAGACCTCAGACAAATTGTCTGATTTGTTAGATTTATATTTCATCAAATCAGCTTCCATATATGGTGCAGATTCCTTGCTACTGGGAGACAATGAAGGGGACTTTGGCACTTTTTGAGTGTTTCATGTACTACACTTTCACTGGTGTTTCTAAAAATAAACTCCAAAAAATTTAAGAAAGAGAAAGCCTTAGTAATGGCAGTCTCTCTCTTTGTTCTAAGTGATTGTCCACAGAAACAATGTTGTATATGGTTTTAATGGTCTCTGTGCACACATTAACCTGTCACATAACTTAAGTATTTATTACCAAGAAATAGCTATTGATTAGGTTTTTATGTGAGAAAATGAAGAGCTTCTACTGCCTGAAGAGGAGAAAGAAAGGGGTGATTCTGGGCACCAGAACATTGTTAATGCTTAGTAGTAAGAAACTGCTTGTATGGTAAAACTAACTACCCAGAAGGCATACTTTAGGAATGTTTAAGCTCCAATCTATAAATAGGCCCCACATTTTTCCCCAAAGGGGTGGTGGTAGTGACTGTATGTGTGTAAAGAAACAGTGAATGAATACTTAAATACTTAGCAACAAAGAAAATAACTGTGAAGCACTAAAAACAAGGATTATACTAAAGATGACATTCCTGAAGCTTATGTGCCAATCAGAAGGCTGGAAGGACAGCTGCAGAAGGAAGGTAAGCCTAGCTTCCAAGACCATGCCTGGCAGCATGATGGTGTTCATGAGTCTAGTTTGAGAAGGTCTTAACTTAAATAATGAGACACACAGTGTTTCTCTGTGATTCATAAAACAGGAATCATCTCAAGGGCAAGATGAATTCTTCACAAGCATGAATCTGGGATTTAACTGAGTGAGTGTTCTGTACACAAACACAACCAAATCTAACAAGAATACAGCAAAGGCTGAGGAGCTTGATTCTCAAGTGGCACTTGTAGGTACATGGAGGCTGCGTGCCAGTGACAATGTAAAGTCTATTCAAGTGCTAAGGGAACAAGCTGATAAGACACTGGCAAGACACAATTCCCTGCCAACCATAACCAAAGTTTCTATGTAATCAAAAGCAAAGAAAAACTAATTAAGGGAAATTATACCAATAAAAGTGCTTATTGGCATACATGCAGAATAACTCAATATGCTCCAAAATACCCACAGCATGGAACCCAATACACCCCAGGAAGGCAGCCCAGGGCCCCTTAATTGTATTCTTAGAGAAGTATATCTGATGAAGAACAGACTCAGCACTGAGTGACTAATAAGGATGTGGCCTAGATTAGGTCATGTTCAAAAATCAGCCCACTGGCCTCCACAGTTGACTGGGTCTGGTTTAATGATGCAAGCTGAATAATCAGGATCCTTGGTTAAGAAGAGACACAAACCCTGGAAATAAGATAATGTGGTGGAAGTTTACTCTTTTCTTGGAGTCCCTGCTACTTACTCTATCTTTGTCTTGAGTTCTACATTTTTGATTTTAAAAACTTAGGGCTGGCAGTGTGTGTAGCTCAGTAGTATAGTGCACACTTATCATGTGGGAGGCCCTGGGTTTAATCCCCAGCACCAAAAAAAAAAAAAAAAATTAATAGCCCTAGTATCAAATTTCATGCAAGTGAGGTAAGAGCTGGATGAGAAACTGAAATCATCACACAATTCAGTCACTGCTTTTCTAAGTGAATTTAGATGATAACCTCTGGTAATCTGGCTTTTAGTTTCCTCTCTCCAAAAGAGTCCAGGTTCATGCATCTTTCAGGAGAAGGCTTAGGAGGAACAAAGGTGCATGTGACACTCTCTCGCAGCACAAGGCCCAGGCTGTCATGAAGAGCATTTAAAATGAAGGCTTCTTCAGGGGCATCTTTCCTGAAGCTCTTTACTTTCCCTTCTTGCTCCACGAGCTTGAGTTACCCTGTAAGCCCTCCATCATAGCACTTACCACAATTGCAATTATTTGCGTAATTGGCAACATCTTCTACCTCCACTAAATGCATCTCTATGAGGACAGGACTGTCAGTTCTTTCAGTCAATGGACATGACCCCCAACACCGAGATGGTGCAGGCATTCCTGTTGGATATGTAAATGAACAAGCGGGCACTCTGGAGGCCAGAAGCTTACTATGGGCAAGCAATCAGTTGAACATGTTTTCTCAGTAACACCCACACTTGTATCCTCTCTGTCTGCAGATAGGAGCTTTTAGGAGCTCTACTTTCTTCACAGAGTAATAGGAGGCAGGGTGAGACAAAAAAGAAATACTTACAGGCGGGGGCTTCTTTCTCATCTCAAATGTGCGTGTGGCGCCAAAACTGAGTGAAGCGATGACGGGGCACCTCCCTAGTGAGGGTTCATCATCGCTGTGCCAGTCCACACTGTCCTTCTCGTTCCGATAAAGATTGCAGAGTAAGGAGTTGAAGGTGTGGCCAGTGTTCCCCTCAATGCGGTTCTTCAGGGTGCTCAGCACAGGATGCCACTGTAGTCAATAGGTCAAGGACAGTGCAGAGGCAGTTTCACAGGCACGAGATGGCAGCCACATGGAAAAGGAAAGAAAGGGCAAACAGGTCAACTTATAAATGGGGGCATGGAATAAGCAAACCACACGGAATGGAGTAAACAGTACGCAAGAAGAGTTAGCCTAATTTCCTTCCATCATTTTAATTTTGAAGCAAGTTAACCTGTGGAATGTTGTAAAAGTACTAAATTTGGTACAGCAATGTCAGAGCCAGGGCCTCTCTACCCACCTCATCTCTCTCGTGTTAAATACATGGCCCTCACCAAAAAAGCAAATGTCAACATATTCAGGGCAGTTCCTGTGGTAAGCTATCAGGGTGGCAAGTGAAGCAGAGAAGCTGATGGGCAGCCAAGTAGCACAAACCCAGACAGAAGTCTGAGGAGGGAAAGAACTCCTCACTGGATGTCCCTCTGTTCAATCTATTCTTACTTGATTCTCAAGGGCAGAGTTGCTTTTAAAAAAAGACATTTGATACTTCGAGTGGCTAACTTCCTAAAAACAGAATCTGGAGGGGAAAAAATTCTTTTCTACAGAATAGGAATCATGACCTGCCCTGAACATTGTAAGAGCTGTAAACTCCAGCAGACTTCATGGGATACCACAGCCCTGCCTCCTGTGCCCTGAGTTCACTGAGGTAGTGCGTATTTAGAACTGTCAGGGGCTACACTTTCCACAGGAAGCTCCTATGTGAAGCTTGTCGTGCTGGGGATTGAATCCAGGGCTATGTGCATGCAAGGCTCAAACTCTACAAACTGAGCTATATCCCCATCCCCAATAGTATTATTTTTAAAACAATACAAGACTATTCAGTGTTTGCACTATTTTAAACTTGCACTGGAATTTGCACTGTTTTGAATTTTTGCTAGAATTCCTTAACTTCCAGAAATCTCAAGGGCTCTATAGGTACTTTAGGACAGTGTTTTTTAAGCTTTATCCTATCAAAATTTTTGAGGACCCCCAAAGAACTTTTGTTTATATAGATTACTGCTATTAATATTTACCATATTAAAAATTAAGACTGATGATCTGGGAATATGGCTCAGTGGTAGAATGTTTGCCTAGCATGTGTGAGGTGCTAGGTTCAATTCCAAAGAAAGAAAGAGAGAGAAAGAAAGAAAGAAAAAGATTAAATTATTAATTTATTTAAAGTACAATAACAAATCCATTACATGTTAATATAAATATTCTGTTATAAAAATAACTATAATTTGTAATGCAAAAAATTGTTTTATAAATCTCTAAAATGTCTGACAACAGAAGATAATTCTTCTTTTATGATTCTGTATTCAGTATGTTAAAATGTTATTTTCATTGAAGTACATGAAAAAAAAATTAGCTTCACCCAAATATGTAGTTTAAGTTCTTTCAAATAACGTGGCATCTGAAACCATTTTAAACTTTTTGAGTTCTTTTTTGTTGTTTTGTTTTTTTGGGGGGCGAGGGGATACCAGGAATTGAAATGACGGGCATTCAACCACTGAGCTACATCCTCAGTCCTATATTTGTATTTTATTTAGAGACAGGGTCTCACTAGTTGCTTAGCACCTCACTTTTGCTGAGGCTGGCTTTGAACTTGCGATCCTCCTGCCTCAGCCTACCAAGCCTCTGGGATTACAAGTTTGCACCACCACACCCAGCAAACTTTTTGTATTCTTTTGCATTTAAATCTACTGGTCCAGCTTGCACTTTGAATGAAATCTTTAACCCAATATTATTTCATAACATTCCCCAGGATCATATGGAAAATACTAGTTCAACTGAGTTACTATACAGATTTTCTAGACATTGAAACATTTCATTATACAACAACAAAACTCACATCCATTAATACTGACCTCGTCAGAAAAGTCTAAGTAATAGAAAGAAGTCAGGCTTAAAGTAATAGATACCAGTTTTTCAAAGTTCTAATTCTTGTCCAAGTTCAACTTCTATCATTAGTAATAAATCCTGTTTGTTGTTTTCCTTGAAGTCACACTGACTTCATTCATTTATGAGGAAATAGATACCAAGCACTCAAGTCTGAATAACCAGTCTGTTTCTTATTGTTCTTCTAAATAATAACAGCCCATGAAAAAAAGCAGCTAGTTCAGCTTTAAGCTCAAACAAATGCTTTCTGGTTTGTAGCAGGTGCTTTGTGTGTACTTTCAATTTCATCCAACTAGTAGGAAGACATGCACTGAAAAGCCAAGATTTAAGAAAACTAATAATGTTTACTCTTCATGAAGGGAAATTCTTAAATGAAATCAGCATTTTTTAAACTTTAAACTGGAAGTGCACGGTGGTGAAGAACACAATGACTACCAGTATAGCTAGGTGACAATGCTTACCTAATTCATGCTACAGTGCCACCAATTTTATTCTCTAGCACTTTTGTAACATCAGTGCAAATCAAAACAGTGTAAACACTGAATAGTCTTATATTATTTTTAAAATAACACTATAGGGGCTGGGGATATAGCTCGGTTTGTAGTATGTGCCTTGCATGCACATAGCCCTGGGTTCAATCCCCAGCACCACAACATTATAATAATAATAATACTATTGAAGATCCCCCACAAAAGGTTTCATGGACTACCTTCCAGAGATCCAAAGCTTATTCCTCAAGAACTGTGACTCTGAAGAACTCCTCAAATGTCTGTGTACATGTTTGGTACTGATAGAACAGGTGTTTGGCAAAGGCAAGCACAACATTATTAAGTATGTCACATGGTTACTGTCAGGTAAAAGTGCCAGGGAAGCATATGTGAGCATCGCTCATTGAAATGGAAACCATGGTTGAAGGTGGGTGTCCTTGTTAATAGTTAACAGCATTATATCCTAAGCAGAGCATTTTAAAAAATAAACAGTGACAACAAAGAAAACTTGGATCAATACAACAAAAATGTTATTAAACTAACCTATGTTCAAGAGAACAAATTCCAAAGTGAAATTCCAAAAATAATGTCAGTAATCTGTAATTCCTATTTATTTTACAGCTTTAAACTTATCTTCATGGAGCTAAAGATCAGATACTAGAATAAGAAAACCAAGATATAAAGGAGAAAGGTAGTGTTTCTATAATGTGACTGTGAATCTAATTAGCACCTCCCTGATTTACTTGGGGGCTAAGCACTGTGATAACATCAAGTTTGCATTACATTTTGAAGTTGGGTATATATTTTTTTCTTGGTTATTTCTGGTAGTTGAAGTAGATAGAAAGGGAGAAAAACGGGGATAATGAACTAGAGGATTAATTTAGACTCTTTAACCAATACTCTATATACAGATCCTTCAGAACTGAATGTCTAAATTAAAATTCAGCGTCATCTCACTGTTCAGTGAAGACATTCTATCCTTAAAAGACATTTGAGAAAAAGAGTATGAGAAAACAAAAATCACAGAGGAAAAAGATTTCAAACAATGTTTTGCAGAGTCCTAGGTACCACGAAGGTGGTCAGAGTCTACAGTAGGAGAAGGGGTAACCAAGATGGTGGCATTCTCAGCCAGTCAGTGCTTGGATCTGGTTTACCCACTGGGTCCACATAAGATTTATTTGGAACAAATCTTATAAAACAAAATTAAAAACATATGACTGAACCTGACTCTTTCCCATTGGATGTTAAGCTTGAGGTCATAATGGTTTCTAAATTAAAAATGTACCCCAACAAGCATATACACTGTGAATCCTCCTTTAAAAAAAAAAAAAACAGAGAAAGGGGCAACTTCAAGACAGTATATAAATAAACTAAATCTATTAACAAAAAATTCCAGATTAAAGAATTCCAATATGATAATCTTAATATCCAACAAAAGTAGCTTGTTTAAAATAAGTTATGGAACATCATGCAGCTTTTAAATATGGTGAAGAATATTTAATGGCACTAAAGAATGTTAATGATATACAGCTAAATGGAACAGAGTAGACATAATTGATCTTTTTTTTAATGTATTTTTTTAATATTTATTTTTTTAGGTGTGGATAGACACAACACAATGCCTTTATTTTTATGTGGTGCTGAGGATTGAACCCGGGTCCCATCCATGTTAGGCGAAAGCTCTACCAATGAGCCACAATCCCAGCCCAATTGATCTTATTTTGATAGAAAAATTCCTCTACATATCTTTGCCTAAAGTAAAAAAGACTGGAACTAAAACACCAGGTGGGAAAAAAAATACAAAATTTTAGAACTCTCCTTTATGTTATTTTAAGTTTCTTCATTTCAAAAATAAGCACACATTACATTGTTTAAAAAAGATTTGTCATACAAAATTATTTTGAAGGGTTGTCAAAAAAAAATAAAAAGTCCCCCAGAGTGAAAGACAATAAGAAACTCTATTCAGCAAATCTCATATGACACATTTACTTTGAAATGGTGCTTCTTCATCAGGGCAGTTATGCCTCAGCAGATGTATGGCAAGGTCTGGAGTCACTTTGGTTGTCATGATGGTGTGAGAGGAGCCATTGGTCATGGACACCGCTACACATCCTACAATGCTCAAGACAGCCCTGCATCAAAGAATTATCCAGTCCAAAATGTCAGCAGCACTGAGGTTGAAAAACCCCATTTTAAAAATCAACTAGAGTGAAAAAGAGCTTTTTCCCGACAGCCAGGTTAATCCCCAACTTCAGCTGTGACTGTTGACAAGAAGGTAATTAATTCTGACAAAAACAAGGGTAGTGGTGTATGTTGGACTGGTCTAACTCAAGTCTCTCCATGTTTCCAAATCAACCTCAGTTATAAAGGGTCTCGACACTTTCTTAGGTCACATTCTAAATACAGCCCTAGGAACCAAAGCATATCTCTTTTGTAAAAAATATCCCAGACAATGTTTTATCTGTGAACATTTTAGTAAATTGGTGGTTTGTGTTTACATATTACCATAAGTTCCAAAATGTGTCACATATCTGTATCCAAATGCCACAAGCAAAACTCCATTTTCTTCAGTCTCTTTCAATAAAGCATAACATTATTTGCCAAAGGCAAGATTCCAGGAACTAAACAGGGAGTTATTTCTTGGATCTTAATTCCATCCGCTGGACGAGTTTAATTTATATGCTGAAATATCTTTTGTCTACTGTCATGGAAATTTTTAAAAACCAAAAAAGCAGCAGAAACAAGCCAAAGTGGTAATAAGTTGGAAGTCTGAGGAAATATAGGCATAGAATGAATACAAAGTTAACAAAAATTTTAAAAGTCAGATTTTTTTTCATAAATAGCAAAGAAGTCTGAGAGATGGAAAAAGACATTCTAACCTCACTGGCTAGGCAGAAGGATATAGCCACACAACAAATGTGTAGCAGGGTATACACAGAAGGGTCACAGCCAGAAAGCCTGGGTAGGGAGGTATCAGAAGAAATAGTTCATGTTCTGAAATCCTGGACTCCAGTTCCAGCTTACTCTAGTTCCAGTTTTCACTCATCCTGAATTCATCTATGGATCAAGGATGACAAGCACAAAGTCTCAATTTTAAACTCAGAGGATTTTATGAACTAGTAACCCTCCTGTACCTTTGCAAGACAGCTTATTGTTACTCTATAGTTCTCAAAACTTACAATAGTCTATAAAATTACACCAAGGACAATATTTCAACATACGTGAGGATTTGGTTCCATAGTGATTCTTGAATAAGTGTACGGAAGTTCTCCATACCATGCTGTAAGTCTTGGTTGTGGATAAGTTATATCTAAGAGAGAAAATACAGGGCTCTTGAGATGGTTTAGTGCTATTCAAGGTGTACCTACTGTGCGTCAACTATAGGCCTTGCAATGTGCAAGTGGTCAGGAGAAACACAGAGGAAGAGAGGGATGGGCTCTGACCCAGGTTCCAGCATCATGGACATGTTAGGCTTTGGTGAGTAGGACGGGTGGGTAGGGCTAGCAAGGAAGACGAGACAGAGAAGACACAATAGCAGAAACAGCCTGAGCAAAGGCTCTGAGATAAGAACTGTGACTTGTTTGTTTCAGTGATGACATAAACAAGAGTCTCAAAAGGCAAGATATGGAGCCTGGACCCTTGCAAGCAGGAATCTGTGGCACCAATGTCCATGAGAAAAACAAAGCAAAGCAATCACCCCTGTGTTCAACACTGCACAAGCCCTTTTGATTCCAAATAAAGGAAAAGGGTTCTGATCAACTGTACCATACAGCTGGCTTTAGCCAGAAGTTTTTGATGTTTGAGTTTATTTAGAGAGGAAGCTATCTATAGATCTGCTGTTTTTCCCACAACTAATATCAATTACAACCACAGAAAACAGCAGCAGCCCTAGAGACGCAGCTCACCAGTAAAGTGTATGTTCAGCAGGGGCAAAGTCCCGAGTTTAAGCCTCAATGCCAAAACAAACAAACAAGACAGCTATCCTTGGCAAAGGCCTACTTACTATGTACCAGACATTCTGTTACGCGTTTATCATGCCTTATCTCATTTAATTAACACAACCACCATATAAGACAAGTATTATTATTATTAGCTCAACTTAAAGATATAAAAACCAAGGATTAGAGAGTTACTTAACTATAATTTGCTTAAAATTAACAATTACTTTGAATGACAGAGCAAGTATGGTATGCAACCAAAGCTGTGCTGTAGAAACTCCTGGGATTTGGGAGAAAGTTGCCCCATAAAAGCTAACTCCTGTTCTGATGTGTGAATAACAAAAATGAAGTCAGGATACATTGCCTCTTTCTTTACAGAAAATTTAAATTCACACAATGTACCAGGAAGGAAACACCGCGCTAGAGCACAGACGACCCCCAGTGACCATCTGTGGCATAACAGGCAGCGTTGGCTGTGGCTGCCTACAGAGGAAGGACAGGCTCCAGGTCAGGTAATAAATTCTGCTTCAGCTTCACAAGTTCAGTGAGTGCTGATGCTGAAACCAGAAGAAACTGGATCTTCTGGTGAAAGTAAAATGAGAATTAAAAGTCAATAAGAGTAAATGGAAAAAAAAGTATGCCAAATAGGATCAGAAAAAAAGAAAACTCTGGACGCCTCCATGAAGAAAGAAGGAAGCTAGCATCTCTGGAAGTAACAGAGGGAGAAACCAACATAAAGGGAGTGTGTCAGCAGTGCAGGCAACCCAGCCTCCCCTGGCCCCTTGTGCTCTCACCATGGCCTCCCTGATCTCTGGGCCTTCACCAGAGTCTCTTCTGCCTGGAATATTCCTGTCCCCTGTGACTAGCTACTTCCTGCTCCTCCTCAGGGTGTCAGGTCAAATCTCTGTTTAAGACTGGCTGTGGTGAGCAGAGGCAGAGACAGTGGAAAACACTCTGAGGGAGACCAAGGCAGTGCCACTGTCGCCTGGAAGATCTACTCACCCTCTCTGATGCCCATCCTCTGTTTCCAGGGGACGTCCCGGCAAAGCTGTTCCAACATCCAGTCAGCTTCTTTCAAGTCAAGGAAGCCAGGATACAAGCACACCCTTGAGGCAGAAAGAACTGCTATTAGCTAAAGAACATGGAAAAGACAGGTTAGATGTCTAACCCTGAACAGTGTTCACCTGGATCCTCCCTCCTGTGGGTAGATGAAGTCATTTCGCCCCCTCCACAGCAAGCAAAGGCTAATATCACCAGGTCACGATGCTCCAGATATAAAATAAACTCCTTCCATGTTAAGCCAAATGAAGGGATACATGAGAGCTTCTACAGACTGATTAAAACACAACTCAGAATTTGAGTATTACCAAATAAAAATACCAAGAATTTAAAGGCCAGAAATTATCAGCATGTTTTTTAGCTGTGAAATCCTGGGAAAGTTAATTAACTCTCCTGAAGCTTGGTTTTCTCATTTACAACCCAAAGATCATACTCATCTTTAGTTTAACAACTAGTGGTCTTTTAAGAGACTATGCCAATTACAAGGAAAGACAGAGATCATTAATGACTATATCAAAATAAACAGATGCAAATGAGGATCCTTTCTCTCACTGAATGAATGTTTATTTCAACAATGCCAATTTAGCTCAAAATCATTTTGTGTATCTTTCCAAAGAAATGTTCTGAAAGCCCATGGGATAGTCTCTTGAAGAGCCTTGGTGGCAGCCAATCTTCACTCTGAAAGTACATTCCATTATTCAAAATTCACCTGAAGCCACAACAAATTAACAATAAGCTATAACCAAAGCAATGCAACTGGTTCTGTGTAGTTGTTAACTTTGCTTAAAAGGGGAGGTTCCAAGCAGGGTGATAATGACAACAGTGCCAATGAACTTTTTAGAGACTTCCAAGTCTAGCAGAAGATCCTCTAAGCAACTCACTTAGATGTGTAAGCTCTGCTATATTTGTTTTGAATGTTTCATTAATTTTATAGTGACAATTAGCGAGCTTAAGCATTAAGGTGAGGTTTTCAAAATGTTTTTAAAATAATAGCTAATGTCTTGTACTTTAACTACTGAAATCCACCCTAATGGAGCAATATAAATGACATGTAATACTATATAATTAGTATTTGTAAGTAATTCACAAAAAATAATACAATAATAATATAATGCAGCACTCACAGCAGAGAAGCCAAGGATAGACTAAACCCAACTCTAAAGTAAAGTTACTACGCAGCTATAAAAGGACTCAATCTCTCGAGGCTTCTGTTCCTCATCTGAGAAGCTGAGGTAGTAATAGTGACTATATCTGACAGGGAGGCTATGAAAATATTTTCACACTAGAATATTATATGTTACAAAATTCTTATTCCCCAAGAACTTAAAGTGCAGAAATTACAAGTCTGTTTTAACAGATTATAACTTGGTGATAATTACAGTCCCTTTCAAGTGAGGAGTCACTTACCTAGATACACCTGTGGGTGCCAGGCTGATTTCATACACACCCTCCTTGCTAAAGAAACAAAGGAAAGAGAGGTGTTAGCACGAGGCATGGGGGAAGGGCTATCCTCTGGAGTCTTAAACTCTGGCTCACTAAAATCACATAACCAGAGAGCACTAGGAGGGAGGCACAACCCCATCTTCCTCTACCACTGAGATAAGCAGCAAGGTGGTGGTACATCATTAACAGCACTGTGAACAGAACGCCGACAGGGTCAGACCACGGAGACAAAAGTGGAACAAAATCAATTCTCATTCTCTTTCATATTTCACCTGTAATTTAGCCTGGAATCCATTACACAAAAGGTTATCAATAGACACAAAGAAATGGGGTATCTTCCCTTTGGAGAATTTGGAATAGGGTGTATTTACGTCCTGTAAATAACAAGCACATCCTGGGGCTCTGTGCTTCTATTGCTTTCAAAGACACGTTAATGTGGTTTCTCCTCTGAGTAAATTCCTTTAATGGCTGCCCAAAATTGCCTCCAAGGTCTTCATGATCTGACTTCCTCTCTGAAAGCTCCCACAGACTCATTATCCTCCAGCAACAACTGACCATTGGAATCTGCTGAACGTACATGTGGCTGCATTTCTAAGCCCGTGCGTGTTGGAAGGCCTTCCTGCCACCCAGCATCCCTAACCCAATCCATCTTCAGCTTTGGTACCCTGGAAAATTATAATTTACCCTTCAAAAATTTCACTCAGCATCACCTATAAACAATTCCTGATCTTGAATCCATGCAAATATTGTTATCAATCTCATCCTGTGACTAGTATTAGTACACACATACCTACCTACTGTTCTACCATGTACAAGATTATAATTTGTTTACATGTCTATTCCATTTTCTAGATGACAGTCCCTTAGGAACAAGGAGTGGGATGGTATAGTTCCCTATTGCCTGCACATAGCAGATGGGCAAAAAAGTTTACTGAAATAAATCAAATGTGGAAAAGTATAGAAATGTTGCAGATGCGCAGGGTGTGCTAGACCTGGAAAAACAGCCCAGACTGGACAGGTCCATCAATCAAGACAACTATGTCAGATCCTTCTTACAGAGAATATGCAAAGGGTCAGGTTTCAATATCACCTTCTGTTATAGGAGTTAGTAGTTCATGATCTCTGATCTCTTACAGACCCTTTAAGCCAAAAATAAAGAAATTACCTATACAGTCTATACAATAATGCCACGTTTCTGTAAATTATCTACATAATCTCCTGGTGTATGAGCGTGAATACAAGTTTTAATATGATATATTTTGGCTTATATTTAGAAACTGGCTCACCCTTAATATGGAACACACTTCTGATTATTAAAAATATAAAATTTTGCAAAGTTAACTTTAGATAACAAGAATTAACAAACCCTAGAGCAAACAGGAATGGATTTTGTCATCCTTCTCTTGACTTACAAACTAACAATTACCTATTTTTTTTTTCAGCCTGAATGTCCCATTTGGAATGGATTTTGCTTATTCCCTTTATCATCATTGAAGGAAGTGGTATACTAATTTTTTTTTTAAATCAAAGACCATTAGAACTAGATTAAGCCTTGAGTGATATGCAACCCAAATTCTTAATTTTACAGATAAGGAAACTAAAATCCAGAGAGATGGGAAGAACTTAACTAAGGATTAGTAATAAAGTTAACTAGTGACAAAGTGAAGACTAGATATTTTCCTTGAAGTATGTTGACATTTGTGTTGGTTTCAAATTCTTCTATGTTATGTTATGTTATTTGGCTATTTCAGTTTGGAAGCCAAACTGAAACAGCCAAATAACATAACAGATGGCTCATGGGTAAGAACACACACCTAAAGCTAATTTGCTAAAATGAAAGGATAGGTTTTATTTTTTTTTAATTTTTTATTTTAGTTGGACACAATATCTTTATTTTGTTTATTTTTATGTGGTGCTGAGGATTGACCCAGGGCCTCGCACTTGCTAGGCAAGCACTCTACGGCTGAGCCACAACCCCAGCCCAGGATAGGTTTTATTGACAATTTATTTATATCAGATGGAAACTGAGAACCAGGAGAGAAGGCAAAGCATCTCCTCCAATTTTAGATAAAAACCATTTTTGACACAGATCAATACAAGAGGAATATTTAGTATCATTTAAATTGCTATGAAACAATCATGTGGTTTTAATAAATGGGCGTGTAAGGTCATCGACTGCTAGCAGCTCTCATGAGCATAACTAGTAAAATGGTACTTCAAGACTTCTCAAAAAGCCATGGTCAGATGACTCAGAAAAAATTCCCCTCTGTCTTTAGCAAGAGATGTTTTAGCTTACTGTCGGCAGATATCAGTGAAATACAGCCAGGAAATCTATACCAGAATCAAAATTTAATGTACTGAGGTCTTGTTGCATTTTCCATATGATCAGCAGATTCAGAAAGTTCTCCCAAAAGATCAAATTCAAAGACATCTGAGATGGTCACATTCCAGCCTAAACTTAAGACACTTATTGGGCCATTCTCATCCAGCTAGAAAGTTCAGAGTGAGGGAAAGATCCTGGGTTCTCCCTTTCATTGTGGGCAACAATTACAGGAAGGCAGCAAGTTACTTACTCAATCACTCGTGGTTCTGGGGCTCTACGTACTACCTGCAAGGAAACAGGCAGATTTTAATTCTTGAGTGATTCCTAATCCTCAAGGAGATCATTCACCACATCTTCTCATTTCTGGTCAAAATAAATCAGGTTTATAACCATCCCTTTTTTATTCCCACCTCTCACTATCCCATCAGAGATCCTCAATTCCACTCTTCAAAGAAGAAGATTTACTAGTAGACAGAAAAATTAGAATTAATCAATTTTCCCACTGGCCAGCAGATCTGGAAAAACCTTCTTTACATAAAGGAGATTAAAAAAAAGAAGAAGACATCATAAAATAAGGACATTTGGTAACTATTTTTGCAATAAATACTCTAGCAAGATGCCTGATTTTTAACTCCTTTTCCCCCCATATTATTAAAAAGTGAGAACTGGGATACAGATCACTTGCCTAACATGTGCAAGGTCCTGCAATCAATCCCCAGCACAGCAAAAAAAGAAAAAAAATAAGTAAAAGAAACATTAAAAAGTGAACCTACTCTTTTCTCAGAAGAGACTCAAGCATTTTGCTACAATAAATGAAATTTCAATTCAATTCCAAAGACATCTGCTGTAGTATCACTGGAGACAGCATGGTTCAGAATTGTGAGAACTCATGTTACCCACGCAAGCCCAAATCATGGCGTAAGTTCACCCATCTACTAATGGAACAGTCTCCCTGCCAAAAAAAAGGGTGGGGAGATAACATATGACCATAAACTGGGGAAGAATACAAATAATCCTCAGACATATGAGGGAACTGAATGAAATATTTCACATTCCTTAATTATTATAGAATTTTTGCTCTGTTCTTCATTAGTAAATTTATTTAGTCACTATCTGAGTCCCTGCTATGTTTGTTACTGTTGAAGGAGAAATAAGACTTTACCTGCTGAGGTTCTCTAAACACAAACTCTCTGTCAGACAGATGAGGCTCCTTGTTCCTCCAGGTCTGACTAGAAGTCTGATGGAGATGGCTCCTAGCAGTGGTAGCTGAAATAGGAGAAGGATCACCTTAAGCCAAGGAAAAGTCCGTTCCCATAAACTTCTGCTGGGTAAGGACCAATAAAACCCACTTGGAGACGATATCTATGACATCACAAATTAATTGGTAAAGTCAATAGAAGACCTTGCACACTGTGAAGGGTTTGAGGTACTGACTAAATATGAGGAACACTAAAGACTGACCTTTAGCTCATCATAAACAAAATCAGACAAAATGCCAGCTATGTTTTAAACAATTCCTTAACATCAAGTGAAATGGGAGTTTATTATAAGCCAAAAGGATATATAAAAAAAGAGGATGATAGCTGTCCACACCCATGAACACCCCCCACAAGTCCTACAGGTTCTTGCCTGGCTTCGCAGCAGCCTGGCTCTGGGCAGGGGCAGCCCAGGCTCCCTGCACTCGGGCTCGCCTTCTTTTGTCTTCCATGTTGACCAAAAAGGTTTCTGCTCTGAGCTTTCAGATGATTTCATTCCTGGTACAGACCACACAAAGATAGCTGTTAAAAAAAAAACAAAAAAAAAACACTTTTAGTTAGGATTGTGAAAGCTTATCCTATTAAGAGGTAATTATAATCCTCTCAGGCAAAAGAGATGGCTCAATAACAATCAGAGCTTCTACATAAATCCATTTCTGTCATCACAACATCTCAACCAAGGCGCCTACTAAGTCACTTGGGACTGCTGGCTTATCCTTTGGAAGCTCATCATAGTACTTTTACTTCTTTCAGACATGCATATTAAGAAATTCTAAAACCAGGAACTATCACAAATTACATAAGGAAGCTGTAATACTCCCATTGTCCCCTATATGGACGTTGAGAAATGGGCTAAGATTCAGTTTCCAAGTACATTTCCATATTCCATTATCAAGCATCCCTAGAAGCTTATTAAAAGCTCCCTCGGGCCAGACACAGTGGAGCATGCCTGTAAATCCCTGTGGCTAGGAAGTCTGGGGCATAAGGATCACAAGTTCAAAGCTAACCTCAGCAACTTAGTGAGGCCCCGAGCAATTTAGCAAGACCCAGTCTCAAAATTACAAAAGGCTGAGGATGAGGCTCTGCGGTTAAGTGCCCCAGGGTTCAATCTGTGGTACCCAAAACAAAAACAAAACAAAAAACACCCATGGCAAATGAACCTGGAGGACTTCATGCTATGTGAATAAGACAGGCATAGAAAGACAAATACTGGTGTAGAATCTGTCAAACTCATAAAAGTAAAGAGTAGATAGTGATTATTAGTGGCTAGGAGACAGGGACAGAAGGGGGAAATGAAAGACAATGGTCATAGGGTACAATGTTTCATTTAGACAAGAGGAGTGTTAGTAATCTAATACATGAAATGGTGACTGTACATTTCAAAATTGCTAAGAATCAATTTTAAATGTTTTTACCACAAATATGATAAGTTTATTAGGTGATAGATTTATTAGCTTGACTTAATCATTCTATAATGTAAACATATATTGAAACATCAATATGTATCCGATATACAATTATCATTAGTCAGTTAAAAATAAAAATCAGGGCACAATGGTATGCACGTGTAATCCCAGTTACTCAAGAGGCTGAAACAGAAAGACAGCAGTTCAAGGCCAATCTGGGCAACTCAGAAAGACTGCCTTAAAGGTGGGAAGTGGGTGCTGGAGATGTGGTGGAGCACCACTGGGTTCAATCTCCAGTATGGCCAGGTGTGGTGGAACACGCCTATAATCCCAGCAGCTTGGGAGGCTGAGGCAAGAGGATCACAAGTTCAAAGCCAGCCTCAGCAATTTAGCAAGGCTCTTAGCAACTTAGCAGAACCCTATATCTAAAATATAAAAAGGGGCTGAGGATGTGAGTCAGTGGTTAAGCGCCCCTGGGTTCAATCCTCGGTACAAAAAAAAAATCCAGTATATTAAAAAAATTAAAAATATCTATGGCCTGCCTCCAGAAAAATCTGATTTAGGATAGATAAAGGTGTTATTCTTTATATAAAAACACTGTAGGGCTGCGGTTGTGGCTCAACAGTAGAGCACTCGCCAAGCAGATGCAAGGCCCTGGGTTCGATCCTCAGCACCACATAAAAATAAATAAATAAATAAAGGTATTATGTCCAACTACAACTAAAAATAAAAAATAAAAACACTGCAGATAATGTGCCAGTATGTATATACAGTTGAGGAAATTAATAGTGGGTATATTAATATTAAAATTTAAATAAGTTCCAGTCTTTAATTGAAAAAAATCCACCTCATAACAGCCAGTAACACTGTCTTGATATTTTTGTCAATAAAAGCTTAACCCATTGTACAGAAGTATTCACAGCTACAAAAAACGAAAACAAAGGAGGTCAGGCCACATGTTCTGAATCTATAACTCGCTTCTTTACGGGTCTTAAAAAGGTTCACATCTCAAGTTCTGTAAATAAAGTAACAAGTTCATTTTATAGCTTGTTTAGCTTACAGATTCCCAGGTCCCATACCCCAGACGTTCAGATTCAACAGAGCTGAGCTGGGTTCAGGAATCTTACGTTTAACAATTTCTCCTAGATGATAAAAATTACTTCCTTTAATAAGTAGGGAGATGATAGGGGTTGCCATTTTCTTATAGGAGTACATGACATAATTAAAAACAGTTCTCTAGTCCCACGAGATGCGTGTCCCTGTTTGGCATTTTCTCTGAATTAAGGCCTTAAAATCTTAACACAACAACTAGCTGTCATCCCCAAAGGGGCCATGGCCTGCTTCACCCGCACACTCCGAGCACAGGGAAGCATGTGATTTGTCAGGGGGCAACTGCTGAAAAATCATATTCCAGATCCCCAACCCCACAGTCACTCCACTGTGGAGTCCCAAATCTGCCTGTTAGCCTGCAGCCCGGGGTCCCTGTGCAGAGACAGCTCAAGGCTCCTTCTGCAGGCACTCCGGGGCCTGCCAGGACTCGCTCCAACCACATCTGTCAGTTCCCAGCGGCACAACCCGTGACAGATGACTGCCCCTTTCTGAGCCCGCTTCTTCCTCACCCCTTACGTTGGGGTGCGGATTAAGCGAGCCTTGTCCTGGATCAGGGCTGGCTCCTTTCCCTACTCTAGACCCTTCTCCTTAAGGAGGCCCAGGATGTGTCCCAGCGGCCGCCCAGTAACGGACCTCAGGGGCGGCCCTCACACCCCCAGCCCGAGACCCCCAGCGGAAAGCTCGGAGAGCGCACCTGCGGGCGGAGCGCGGCTCGGAGATCCAAAGTCGCTCCGCCTAAAAGCAGCGCCCGGGTGCCTGACCCTCCGCAGCCTGTGATCCGGCGGGGAACCTTAAGAATGAAGCACCGACTCGGGCTTCTACCAACCACAGGACGCGGCGTCTTGCACTTCCTTCAGACGTCACGGGCCAACGCGGCCGCTTCCGGTGCCCGGCTCCGAATCCGGGTAGCTCCACGTGCCCTGCGCCTGGAGGGCCGAGGCGCAGAAGAAGCTGAACCAGGTTGAAGCTGAGGGCGGGGATTGAAGGTGCTTGGGTGCGGGAGGACGGGGTCTGTCGAAGGAGGAAGTGAAGACACGCCTTCTAAGCCCAGGTCCTGGGGACGTGAACTCCTCGAAACTGGAGATGCGGATAGAGCCACCGCGTCCCAGCGCAGCCGTTGGGAGAGCGAGGGACTTGGAGTAGCAGGTCATAGTGCGCCCAACCAACGGATCTGCGTTTTGTCCTGAAACAGTGAAAGCCCAAGATGCGCGTCCTTTATGTTCACGTTGCAGCCTGGACTTGCCTGGATCGTAGCATTGATACCGGACCTGGGATCACGCCTTGTTGGTCTCTTCTCTACAGCGTTAAGCAAGGTTTGCCCGAGTGAACAGACCTAAATTCCAGTCCAAATGCCACCACTTAGTAGGCGTATATCACCTGGGGCTGATACTCCACTTCTTTTTCTAAATGGGCCTGGTTACTGTTGGGAGAATTAAATGAAGTGATGTTTTTAAAGACTTTAGTACAGTGCCCGGAAAACAACAGAAATTCAATAAATCTAAAAAGTGTTAAAGAAGGGTGTCTTCTCTTCACTCCATCTGCGCTCTTGCCTCTTAAAAGTGGCCGTGTTAAGCCATGCACTTTAAGATGTGAAAGCAGTAAACATAGCACTGAATTTAAGTTAGCTATCCGAACGTGGTCCATGTTCGGATGCCTGATACTAGATAGTGGTTACCTGCAGGAAGCTCAGTGTACCCTATAATTGTACCCATATTGTTGCTACTGTCAAGTCCAATTTTCACAGCATCCATTTCTCTTTGTTATGCTTTCTGACATTGAAGAGAAAATGATTTATCTTAAAATTGAAAGGAGAGGGAGGCCTGACAATATTTTTTTATCTTTTCCCCTCTATCAACTAGTAATTTGTCAATGTCTGCTGGCTCAGGAACCTTGGCTATAGCTCCCAAAGGATGTTATTTTGTTCTTTTCGATGATTATAGTTTTGGAACAGGAAGAAGTCTGGATTGAGAAGTCCCTACAAGTAATCATTAACACTTGTTCAGCCTCCAAGTTGAATGTTTTTCAAAAATCAATCCATGGCCTGTTTGTGTCTGAAATCACTGCATTAAAAAAAAATCACATGCATGTATTATTAGCTATGCACAAGATGGTTCTGGTGCACAGAAAGTTAGAAAATGTCTGGGACACTTGTAGCATTAGAAATCAGTCCAATTTGTTTGGGACTAAGGGGTTTCTCAGGATACAGGACTCTAAGTGCTAATTACCAACAGTCCTGAGCAAACAGATGATTGGTCATCCCAGATACAGGTAAGTATATAGTATTAGGAAGATGGTCTTTCTGGTCTGGATGTCCTCGTTTTGGTCTCCTTTTCCTCATTTCTATTTGCAGTACTTGTGTTTTCATCATGGGGTGGTGGTAGAGACCATCAGAGAGGAATGAAGACCAGATGTACTATGGATGAAACCATTGATCCTCAGCTTCAAACTCACTCCTCATTGCCTGGATCAGAACACTAGAATGTTTCTCCCTTGTCATTTGGCCCAATGGGCAGTAAGCTTCACCAACAGAGGATACAGGAAGAACACTGAAATAAGAAGGGGCTCTTGTTCCTATTTCTCCTGTGCTCCTCTCAGCTGTGATCTTCAGTGCACAGTGGCCAGCAGTATGTGATATCACCCTTGAACTCATTTACAATGTTAATTCAGTTATTGGTCTTGCAAGTTTCTTTTGTGAAAGTTAAGGCATCAGTTGGGAAGGAATGGAACCTCCAAACTTGAACTAAGGACTCTGCTTGGACACAGATAATTGACAAGTCTTGAACATCCAATTCACCTGATTCTTTGTTGACTGTGGAAAGTCGCTTTATTACTATGGCAGAGGAGACTACACTTTCTTTGCTTGAAAATGCTATGAAACCCTTACCTTGGCCAAATAATTGGAAAAGGGAGGTTCCTTCTCCACAAGACTCACCACAACCCATTGCCCCTCTTTCTGTCCCATTGCCCCTAGTCCCATATCTAGATTCAAATGTCAGTGCAGTAGTTGGGCCTTTACACACTATCATACAGGAGAGAATAGTTTGCACTCCAAAAGAATTAGAAGATTTTGCTAATATGTATTAGCAGAAACCTGGGAAACAAATGTGGAAGTAGATTCTAAGTGTTCTAATCTAAGGAAAGGAGTACGTAATATTAGATCAAGCCTAATTAATTCATGTGGAAACGCTTACAAGAGATGGACTTGCAGACTTACTGTGTCGACTCATGCATCTGGAGGTGACTCTTAGCAACTTGTTGGTTGGATTTACTGAAACTTTAACTCAACGATGGTCTATAGTTAATACTATTGAGATGCTAAAGCATGATGTGGAAGAGGAAGCCCAAAGTCAAGAGGGAGAATTGTTGGACTAGATTTATCATTTATGACCTTGACTTGTTCCTGAACATAAAAGCTATGTCCCTCAAGAAGGCCCAGAAGATACTCCTTTCTCTAAGTATTGACATCTCCCTGTGGGCACATTTACAATGTTAGTTCAGCTTGTGTTCTTGCAAGTTTCTCCCGTGAATGTTAAGGCACCTGTTGGGAAGGAATAGTATTCACTATAAAGTATTTCTCAATATCCTGCAGTGTCCTGCAGAGCTCTGTATGTGCTCTCTCCTTTGTAGGCGAGGTATGACCATATGGATACCACCACTGTGTTGGGCTTCATGATTTTTTGTGAAGGTGATAAGGCCAAGTGGCAGCACGTAGTTGGCAAAGGTGGGCACATCAACTCCATAGAGCAGTAGGGATATTTCAGTAATTTTAAAAACAAACCTGGCCTATAGGGATCTTAAGAGGTTGCCCTTATATCTCTAGGTGTGAAATAGATAAGCCCCCTATTAAATTATTGATCTATCTAATACAAAAAAAATAAGAAACCTTAGTTTAGTAGCCAAAAACTCGACCTGAATTCCCAAAATGGACAGACATTGTCTGCCACCTAGTTTCCAGACCTAAGTTATAGTACAGGCTGAAATCTCTTAATTGAAGAGGAGGCCAGGTCTGCTCAAGGGAGGATATCCCACCACTGACACAAGTATATAGTTTAAAATTTCCTCCAGCTCTTCATTTTTTACTAGAAAGACTACATGTTGAGGAAGTATAAATACCCAGACCTTTTAGGGGTCACCGGACTCTGGCTCAGAACTAAAGCTAATCCTCAGGAACCTAAACTACTACTGTGGAGCATCTGCAAAATCGAGGACTTAAACTGGTCAGGTGAGAGAGAGAATCTTAGCTCAAGGTTGAGTGGCAGTTGTCTCATAGTTTTACTCTATGGTTATAGCCACAGTTCCTGACCACATAACTGGATTAGACGTATTTTGCAATGTGCAGAAAACCCATATTGACTCTCTGGCCTATAGACTGATGGCGAGTTGGTAGGAAAGGCTAAGTGGAAATCCTGGAACTTCCCCTTGCTACTAAGATGGTAAACAGCATCAATTCCACATCCCCAGGGGGAATTTTGGAAGTTAATGCCATAGCCAAAAACTTGGAAAATTGGATGTTAATACCTATCACAGTTCCATCTGATTCATTGTTGACGTGTGAAGAAGTCAAGTGGATTTTGGAGAATAACTGTGGATTATTGTAAATTCATTCAGGTAGTGATGCCAAAGCAGCTGCTGTCCCAGATATACTACTTTTACTGAACCAGTTAACATGACCTTTGCTTTAGGTATGCTGCTATTGACCTGGATATTGCCTTTTCCTTCATATCAGCTTGCAAGGAACATCTGTCTTTACTTGGCAGGGCCAACAGTACACTCTTATAAGTCTTGCCTCAGGGGTAGCTCAGTCCTCCTACTGTATGTGATCATAATAGTCCACACATCATCCTGAAGAACATATCACAGGCCTACTATAATGATGACAATATGCAGATTGGATGTGATGAGAAGGTAGAAAGTATTTAAGATACTTTAGTGAAACATGTGTGAACTACACATGTCTGGGAGATAAACCCCACAAAAATTCAGGGGTCCCCAACATCAATGAAGTTTGTGGGGCATGTTGAGATATTCACTCCAAGGTGAAAGACAAAAGGTGCATTGCTTTTGGCGGGGCAAGTTATACTACATTTGAATATGCAACTCTACAGAATCAACTATAAGGTTGCTGATAAGGAGTGTGGGCCAGGTCAACAGAAGACTGTGCAGTGAGTTGAGGTTGTCGTGTAAGCTGCTCTAACACTTGAACCTTATGATCCAGGAGATGTAATAATACTTAACACTCACTTAGTGTAAGTAATACTTGTGTCTGTTGTCAGTAGGGACACTGTATGAAGCCTCTGCCTAGCACTAATAGGAGAATCACAACTCAGAACTCTAGGATTTTAAAGCAAATCGTTGACCTTCTTCACTGCTAATTATTCTCCTTTAGATAAATAGCTTCTAGCTTACAACTGCAACTTGGTAGAGACTGAAAACCTAACATGGGGACATTAGGTGACTATTGGTGTTCTGGGCTTCTCATCATGGACCAAGGGCTGTCTGACTCACCAGGCTTTAAAGTGGGCCATACATAGCAGCAAGATGGAAATGGTATATAAGAGATTGGACTTACATGGGTCTGGAGGTAGGAGTAAATTGCATGAGCAGGTAGTGCAGATCTTCAATACCAACTTCTGCTGCACGCCTCCACTCCCTCAACCCATGTCTGAAGCCTCTGGCGTTCCTGACAACTAGTTGACTCAGTAGTGCTTCCAGATGGCCTGCTTTTACAGGCAAGTTTGCATGAAATGCTGATGCCACCCCAGTGTGGACTGCTGAAGCACTATAGCCCCACTCAGGCGTGACCTCGAAGGACAGAGACAAAGGAAAAGCTTCCCAGTGGTA